GGAAACATTATGCTTTGGGGGTGGTTTTTTTCTGCTAAGGGGACAGGACAACTTCACCGCATCAAAGGGATGATGGACGGGGCCATGTATCGTCAAATCTTGGGTGAGAACCTCCTTCCCTCAGCCAGGGCATTGAAAATGGGTCGTGGATGGGTATTCCAGCATGACAATGACCCAAAAAACACGGCCAAGGCAACAAAGGAGTGGCTCAAGAAGAAGCACATTAAGGTCCTGGAGTGGCCTAGCCAGTCTCCAGACCTTAATCCCATAGAAAATCTGTGGAGGGAGCTGAAGGTTCGAGTTGCCAAACGTCAGCCTCGAAACCTTAATGACTTGGAGAAGATCTGCAAAGAGGAGTGGAACAAAATCCCTCCTGAGATGTGTGCAAACCTGGTGGCCAACTACAAGAAATGTCTGACCTCTGTGATTGCCAACAAGGGTTTTGCCACCAAGTACTAAGTCATGTTTTGCAGAGGGGTCAAATACTTATTTCCCTCATTAAAATGCAAATCAATTTATAAAAATTTTTACATCCGTTTTTCAGAAATTTGTTGTTGTTATTCTGTCTCTCACTGTTTAAATAAACTTACCATTAAAATTATAGACTGATCATGTCTTTGTCAGTGGGCAAACGTACAAAATCAGCAGGGAATCAAATACTTTTTTCCCTCACTGTATATATATACAGTGGGGAAAAAAAGTATTTAGTCAGCCACCAATTGTGCAAGTTCTCCCACTTAAAAAGATGAGAGAGGCCTGTAATTTTCATCATAGGTACACGTCAACTATGACAGACAAAATGAGGGAAAAAAATCCAGAAAATCCCATTGTAGGATTTTTTATGAATTTATTTGCAAATTATGGTGGAAAATAAGTATTTGGTCAATAACAAAAGTTTCTCAATACTTTGTTATATACCCTTTGTTGGCAATGACACAGGTCAAACGTTTTCTGTAAGTCTTCACAAGGTTTTCAGACACTGTTGCTGGTATTTTGGCCCATTCCTCCATGCAGATCTCCTCTAGAGCAGTGATGTTTTTGGGCTGTCGCTGGGCAACACGGACTTTCAACTCCCTCCAAAGATTTTCTATGGGGTTGAGATCTGGAGACTGGCTAGGCCACTCCAGGACCTTGAAATGCTTCTTACGAAGCCACTCCTTCGTTGCCCGGGCGGTGTGTTTGGGATCATTGTCATGCTGAAAGACCCAGCCACGTTTCATCTTCAATGCCCTTGCTGATGGAAGGAGGTTTTCACTCAAAATCACATGATACATGGCCCCATTCATTCTTTCCTTTACACGGATCAGTCGTCCTGGTCCCTTTGCAGAAAAACAGCCCCAAAGCATGATGTTTCCACCCCCATGCTTCACAGTAGGTATGGTGTTCTTTGGATGCAACTCAGCATTCTTTGTCCTCCAAACACGACAAGTTCTATTTTGGTTTCATCTGACCATATGACATATGACATTCTCCCAATCCTCTTCTGAATCATCCAAATGCACTCTAGCAAACTTCAGACGGGCCTGGACATGTACTGGCTTAAGCAGGGGGACACGTCTGCACTGCAGGATTTGAGTCCCTGGCGGCGTAGTGTGTTACTGATGGTAGGCTTTGTTACTTTGGTCCCAGCTCTCTGCAGGTCATTCACTAGGTCCCCCCGTGTGGTTCTGGGATGTTTGCTCACCATTCTTGTGATCATTTTGACCCCACGGGGTGAGATCTTGCGTGGAGCCCCAGATCGAGGGAGATTATCAGTGGTCTTGTATGTCTTCCATTTCCTAATAATTGCTCCCACAGTTGATTTCTTCAAACCAAGCTGCTTACCTATTGCAGATTCAGTCTTCCCAGCCTGGTGCAGGTCTACAATTTTGTTTCTGGTGTCCTTTGACAGCTCTTTGGTCTTGGCCATTGTGGAGTTTGGAGTGTGACTGTTTGAGGTTGTGGACAGGTGTCTTTTATACTGATAACAAGTTCAAACAGGTGCCATTAATACAGGTAACGAGTGGAGGACAGAGGAGCCTCTTAAAGAAGAAGTTACAGGTCTGTGAGAGCCAGAAATCTTGCTTGTTTGTAGGTGACCAAATACTTATTTTCCACCATAATTTGAAAATAAATTCATTAAAAATCCTACAATGTGATTTTCAGGATTTTTATTTCTCAATTTGTCTGTCATAGTTGATGTGTACCTATGATGAAAATTACAGGCCTCTCTCATCTTTTTAAGTGGGAGAACTTGCACAATTGGTGGCTGACTAAATACTTTTTTTCCCCACTGTATATATATATATATATATATATATATATATATATATATATATATATATATATATATATATATATACAGTACCAGTCAAAGGTTTGGACACCCCTACTCATTCAAGGGTGTTCTTTTTCTATTATTTATATATTATATATATATATTTATATTATATATTATATTTATATTATATTATTTCTTTTTTCTCTCTCTGCATCGTTGGGAAGATCCTGTTGGGAAGATCCTGTCAGCATTTCACTGTTGTTTACGAAGCATGTGACAAATAAAAATTAGATTTGATTAAAATATGTTCATTAACCCCTAATTTATTCGTAATCTTTTGTGGAATTGTTTCACTGACTCTCTGTCTCTGCACAGGGTAACTGTGAGTCTGAAAATGGACACTGGAGGTGAAGGACTCTACATCGTAAGTATCAATTTGATGTTCAAAGACATCATTTTCAATACAGATGTTAAAAGGGAACAGAGGTCATTTACATACATTACATTGTTTCAGATACATTGACTCCCATGTAATAACTCAACAATGGACTAAGTTATTTGAGCAAAAAATAAATAAAGATTATTGAAAGCACTCTTCATTCAATCATACTTTTCAAAGTAAACCACAGCAGGCTATTGTGATTTACTGCTGAACTTTGTAGTTTTCTGCATTGAATTTTAAATGTACCCCAGGCTGCTGTATTAAGGTCAAAAGCAAAAACATTTCCATCCATTAAAATACATGGCAACATATATTTATGAAATATATTTGGGCATTTATTTTACTAGCTACCACAGCATGCTATCAAAATGTATTTCCATATATTTAAATATATATACACATGTATGTAGAAATATATCAAAAACGGCAAATTTTGTAATATGTGCATATATTTAAATATATGTAATATAAGGCTTAAACACATTTATTTAAATATACATGAAAATATATATGTTAAAATATGTCAAGTCAGGGTGGCACCAATGATTAGGGCGTTTTGGTTGCTCTTCAGTTGGTGTTGCTCTGGATGAGAGCGTCTGCTAAATGACGTAAATGTAAATGTTGTTTTTCTTCCCTGCATTTCGATCATCCGACCACAAGTGGCCGATACCTTCTCACGTGTGTGTATTAAATTGTAACCACGATCATCAAACATAATTATCCAATTAGTCCAAAATGAATTCCCAACCATGTGGATTGACTTCAAGTGAAACGTTTGCCGACAATTATTTTCATCAGCAGCCTACGCTATAGCCTAATGCACCTAATTATTAGCGTATTTTAAATAAATTATCACCTAATTATTAGCCCAAGGACATAAAACATAAATATTTAACTTATTCATTGTCTGTTATCAACATTATATAGGAATAAGAGGCATGTTATCTACGAAAATTTTGCCCATTTCCGAACAAACTAGCCATATTCATTAAATACATATAAAAACGTCAATGCTGAGGATATGGCTTTTGCAAGCGCCAACATCCCTCTCGAAAACGTTGACAATCCCAAATTGCGCGAATTCATTAACACACATGTAAAGACGGAGGCGCAGTCTGGTAAAACAATCAGAAAGCATCTCCATAATAAAGGACAAATCCAGTGACACACATTTTGTAGGAGCGCTGGGTGAAGATGTTAAAGTTGTTCCGGCTGATAGTGTATTTACAGGCAGTGAACTATTCAAGTGTCAGAATATCATTCTGAGTAGCTACGCTTTTACATGCGTTTTGTGGAGGCGGAGAAGCGTATCACCCCCAAATACTGCGGTCTTAACAGAGATGGAGAAGTTGGGTTATTTCTGTAGTGAATGAAAATAGGCGAGCCATTTATGTTCTGAAAATAGTCTATATTTCACCCTCTACATATAACTGATATAAAAATGCCTATCATACCCATATGTTAACAGACAACGAATACATTGTGAAATATTGTTGTTGATTGATGTCTTGTTATGTAAGGATGAGACTGTTTCACTATATCCACAACCTTCCAAGGTAGAATAATTCTTCTGTTTTTTTCAGATGGCTGTCTATCCTGTCCTGTCTATACTGTCTTTCAGTTTTAAAATTGAATGCTAAATTGCAGGTTTATAAGAATATATTGTTGTGGCTCATCTTTCAAGCGATATTGTGAATTTAAATGTTTTATATTTTCTAGTTGGATTCATATTCTCTCCCCTTTAACTGTACTAATTGCCCAACTTTAATAACCTCCGATGATCAGGGATTGAGTCTGTTGGAGAGGGTCAGTTCAAGTAAAAATGAGGTGTAAAATCACTGATCTACAAATAGTATTCCCTGCTAAATAATAGTCTTTGTTTATTTAAGATTCGTATGCTGCCCCTCCCCTGGTTTAGGCGACCCCCCCCCCCCCCAAAAAAAACGAATGCACAACCAGACATTGAATGATTGATTGGAGACCACTTGTGTCAATTACAGAGCATTTCCTAGGATTTTCTGCCTGCATCAAACCCAGTGGATAAGGCTGGAAATATAAGTCAATAAATGTTTTGTTTTGTTTTGTGAAATGCCTGGCACCTACCAATGATGTATATAAACCCTGGATTGCTGCTATGAATCCCGTTAACTTCTGTCAAGGATTAAAACAATGACATCACAACAATGTTTGCAGCGATCATTATCGACAAAAACGTCTAGGAAATGTCCTTTTCAATCTCTCTGTTCGCAGGTCATTCATCTGCGATGGATTAAATCCCCTCCAGAGTCAGGAAGGGATTTATTTATGAAGATATGCATCCAGCCACAGATCGCCTGACTTCTTCAGTGACCTGGGGAGGAACAGAGGTGGATAACAAACCAGGTAAATCACAGAGGAGCCTGAGAGCAGCAGGTATCACCTTATAATAATAATAATAATAATAATAATAATAATAATAATAATAATATGCCATTTAGCAGACGCTTTTATCCAAAGCGACTTACAGTCATGCGTGCATAAATTTTTGTGTATGGGTGGTCCCGGGGATCGAACCCACTGCCTTGGCGTTACAAGCGCCGTGCTCTACCAGCTGAGCTACAGAGGACCACTTATGATGTACAATGTATTCCCAGAGGATAGCACTTAAAAGTATTCATTAAAACACTTGTTTTACCTGACAACATCAGTGAGGCCTTGCTGCATGGTCTTGACCTGATAGGGAACTCCATGTTTCTCACACAAAGCACGCACCAGAGGAGCCACCAGGTGGTAGTTATGACGGGGCATGGTAGGAAACAGACTGGGAGGGAGGTGGGGGGGTGAGGGGGACAGACAGAGAGAGAGAGAGAGAGAGAGAGAGAGAGGAGAGAGAGAGAGAGAGAGAAAGAAGGAGGCAGGCAGAGAGAGAGGGAGGGAGAAGGGTGGAGGAAGGTGAGAGAGGGAGGGAGAGACAGAGAGAGAGGGAGGGAGAGACAGAGAGCAGACGCTATCAGAGTTTCTCAGAGAAACCTCAGTTTCTGAGTAGGATTGTATCGATATTGTATCTAAACACTATTACGAGATACAGTAATTAGTACAAAACAACTGTTAAGTTATATTTAAGATCAAATGAAGCTGCAAACTGCTTAAACTATTACCTACTTTATTATGTCAATGACCTTATAAATACAATATATGCTGTTGACACAGACAACAGTAAAGTGTGATATTTGTTTCACTTACTGGTGTTCAATCTGAAAGTTGAGGTGTCCACTGAACCAGTCGTTGAAAGGTGACTGTTCAATGTTGCAAGTAGCACTCAACTGAGACAGGAGAAATAAACACGTTATAGCACCCTCTACTGGAGAACTACGGATAGCACAGCCCCAGAAAACACACCAGGACCTGTATTCACAAAGCGTCAAGAGTAGAAGTGCTGTTCTAGGATCAGTTTAGCCTTTTAAGATAATGATGAATAGGATTGTAAGGACAGGGGGGACCTATTCCTAGACCAGCACTCCTTCTCCAAGACGCTTTGTGAATATTAATGACACGTTACCTGCATGGTGAGCCAGTCCTGGTGTCTCTCGTGATCCATCTCCATAGGAAGATGATTCATCTGGGTCACCCAAACAAACCAGTGGCTTTCCAAAAACCTATATACAGTACAATATTCACAATACAATTATTCAGCCACAATACTATGTTAAATTCTTACATCAAGCACATCATTGTTGTTTTCTATACTGTAGATAGTTTGAATACAATTAATGAATGAATCAGTGAGTGAGTTAGCGAACCAGCGAATGAATGAACGAATCTTTCAGCTCCCTCTCAGTTCATACTTTACCTGACGAAGCTGATCAAGGCTACTGAGCCAAAGAAACCAAAGAAGGGGTAGTAACAGCAGAAGAAGCGGAGGTAGAAAGTCATCGACCACGCCAGATCCTTCACAGGAGACAAAGATTGGTATTATGGACAGACATTATCACATCTGGGATCCTACCAAAGCAACAATTATCACTGTGATTATGAAGTTAGTCATCTCTGACGGTACAGTCAGTGTGTTGTTGGTGGTGCAATATTATGCTTGCTAGCTTTAGTGAGCAATGAACAAGCATTTAGTGCCCCCAGGTGTTAGCGTAATCATATCATTACAGGTGTCTCTCTCTCGTGGAAGCTTTATGTTCCACATACAGTGGGGAGAACAAGTATTTGATACACTGCCGATTTTGCAGGTTTTCCTACTTACAAAGCATGTAGAGGTCTGTAAATCCAGAAAATCACATTGTATGATTTTTAAGTAATTCATTTGCATTTTATTGCATGACATAAGTATTTGATCACCTACCAACCAGTAAGAATTCCGGCTCTCACAGACCTGTTAGTTTTTCTTTAAGAAGCCCTCCTGTTCTCCACTCATTACCTGTATTAACTGCACCTGTTTGAACTCATTACCTGTATAAAAGACACCTGTCCACACACTCAATCAAACAGACTCCAACCTCTCCACAATGGCCAAGACCAGAGAGCTGTGTAAGGACATCAGGGATAAAATTGTAGACCTGCACAAGGCTGGGATGGGCTACAGGACAATAGGCAAGCAGCTTGGTGAGAAGGCAACAACTGTTGGCACAATTATTAGAAAATGGAAGAAGTTCAAGATGACGGTCAATCACCCTCGGTCTGGGGCTCCATGCAAGATCTCACCTCGTGGGGCATCAATGATCATGAGGAAGGTGAGGGATCAGCCCAGAACTACATGGCAGGACCTGGTCAATGACCTGAAGAGAGCTGGGACCACAGTCTCAAAGAAAACCATTAGTAACACACTACGCCGTCATGGATTAAAATCCTGCAGTGCATGCAAGGTCCCCCTGCTCAAGCCAGCGCATGTCCAGGCCCGTCTGAAGTTTGCCAATGACCATCTGGATGATCCAGAGGAGGAATGGGAAAAGGTCATGTGGTCTGATGAGACAAAAATAGAGCTTTTTGGTCTAAACTCCACTCGCCGTGTTTGGAGGAAGAAGAAGGATGAGTACAACCCCAAGAACACCATCCCAACCGTGAAGCATGGAGGTGGAAACATCATTCTTTGGGGATGCTTTTCTGCAAAGGGGACAGGACGACTGCACCGTATTGAGGGGAGGATGGATGGGGCCATGTATCGTGAGATCTTGGCCATCAACCTCCTTCCCTCAGTAAGAGCATTGAAGATGGGTCGTGGCTGGGTCTTCCAGCATGACAACGACCCGAAACACACAGCCAGGGCAACTAAGGAGTGGCTCCGTAAGAAGCATCTCAAGGTCCTGGAGTGGCCTAGCCAGTCTCCAGACCTGAACCCAATAGAACATCTTTGGGGGGAGTTGAAAGTCCGTATTGCCCAGCGACAGCCCCGAAACCTGAAGGATCTGGAGAAGGTCTGTATGGAGGAGTGGGCCAAAATCCCTGCAGCAGTGTGTGCAAACCTGGTCAAGATCTACAGGAAACGTATGATCTCTGTAATTGCAAACAAAGGTTTCTTTACCAAATATTAAGTTCTGCTTTTCTGATGTATCAAATACTTATGTCATGCAATAAAATGCAAATTAATTACTTAAAAATCATACAATGTGATTTTCTGGATTTTTGTTTTAGATTCCGTCTCTCACAGTTGAAGTGTACCTATGATAAAAATGACAGACCTCTACATGCTTTGTAAGTAGGAAAACCTGCAAAATCGGCAGTGTATCAAATACTTGTTCTCCCCACTGTAGGAATGAAGAGGATTAAGTATACGTTTAGTTGGTATGAAATCTCACCACCCAGTCCCGTCGTAAAAACATGGCCCGCAATATCTGGATGTGGAAATACACTGGAATAAGTAGTGGAGGTCCAACTGAGAGACAGAAGGAAAATACTACATAGGTATTACATACATACATACATACATACATACATACATACATACATACATGCATGCATCAGCCGTCTATCTATTGATTTTATGTGTTCAATGGAAGTTGATGTGATGCTATAATTGATGTGATGCTATACAGAAATTCATGAAACTTACTGAGGAAGAAGTACTTGTGTTGGTGATGGTAAGGCATGTACTTCAACTTCTTTATACCATACTGCAATAGACAGAGACAAGGAGTCAGATGGATCTTACACAAAAGCACTAATACCGTTTCAACACTACAGAGCCAAACCGTTACATGGTTATTTCATGAATATTACATTAATTTAATTAACTATTACATGGATATTTGAATATTACATTCATATTATTACATTAATTCTTACATGATTATTCAAATATAACATGGAGTCAGATGGGTCATAAAGCACTAAGGTTGCGGGTTCAGTTCCCGCAGGGATCACATTCACAGATCCATTATAGTGATAGCTACCTCTACAGGCTGTTTGTCTCCCAGGACGAAGACATGCAGTGAGTTGATATCAGGATCTTTACTCAACACGTTGGGTTTAGCGTGGTGCTGGAAGTGACGATGGTTCCACCAGTTAGCAGAGGCACCCTGGAAACACACAGCTACTGTTACGTATCACTGGTAAACACAATTACACTTACTGTAACTTCCAACTGTTGGGACACTCCACGAAATAAGGCTAATGTAGAGCAGTGACCTTGGAAATGTAACACTGCTCTTGTGAATGTCGGAAAGTGAAAGGGCCAGTTTCCTGAACACAGATTAAACCTAGTGCTGGAGTAAAATGTACTTTCAAAGGAGATTATCCATTGAGAATGGTTTTCAGTCCAGGACTAGCTTTAAGCTGTGTCCGGGAAACTGGCCCAAAGAGTAGCAGAAGATCAGCCTAAAGAAACAGTATTGTCAAATTTTGTCACAGATTCTGCCGAGGCTGCCCCTCCTCCTTGCTCGGGCAGGCTTTGGCGTTTGTCGTCACCGGAATACTAGCTGCTGCCGATCTATGTTCTATGTTTCTATGTTCAACCTGTTGTCTGATTGTTACACACCTGTTTCCCATTATGTGATTACTCCTTCCCTATTTCACCCGGTGGCTCCCAATGTGTTTTGTGTGTGTTTGATTTTCGTTTCGTGTGTCGTTTGGTGAGCGGGTTTGTTCCTCCCTGTGTGGAGGTATTTTGTATTGGTTTCTTTACTTATCAGGAAAAGTATGTTTCAACGAGTTCTGTGTCCTGCGCCTGACTTCGATCCACCGCATTACACTGACACTCGTGACAGAAATACACACCATTTATGGAGTCAGCAGGTACAGCCAGTCAGTCCGGATCGATGGAGGAACGCGTTCAACGACAGGAGAGCATGATCCAGGCTCTCGGCACCGCTATGGAGAGGGTGGTGAATACTATGGACCGATGGGAGAGAGGTGGCCTTCCTACACCTCCTCCAACCACTCAACCTCCCACACCACTGTCCACCCCTTCGCCACCTGGGTCCAGTGGGATTCGGCTCTCGCTCCCGAGGGCATATGATGGTACACCAGCCGGGTGTCAGGGTTTCCTTCTCCAGGTAGAGCTCTACCTGGCAACCATTCACCCGGCGCCCTCGGGATACGAGAGCGTGTCCGCCCTCAACTCCTGTCTGTCGGGGAAGGCGCTCGAGTGGGCCAACGCCGAGTGGGGAGGAATTGACGCTACATATGTCCGCTACGAGGATTTAACACGCCGCTTCCGGGCGGTATTCGATCATCCACCAGAGGGGAGAGTGGCGGACGAGCGTCTGTTCCACCTAAGACAGGAGAGGAGGAGCGCCCAGGATTTTGCGCTGTAGTTCAGGACTCTGGCAGCCAGTGCCGGATGGAATGAGAGGGCCCTGATCGACCACTATCGTTGCAGCCTAAGGGAGGACGTTCGGCGGGAACTGGCCTGCAGGGATACCAACCTCAACCTGGACCAACTGGTGGAGATGTCCATCAGGCTGGATAACCTGTTGGAGACCCGCGGACGTTCTGATCAGGGCCCATTCATTCTATCTCCCAGCACCTCCGACCCTACCCCCATGGAGCTCGGAGGTGCTGCGCTTAGGGAGACCAGGAGAGGGGCCGTATCTTGCACCAACTGTGGCCACAGAGGACACACTGCGGGTCGGTGTTGGGGAGGGTCCCCAGGGAGTCAAAGCAGTAGGCAGAGCACTGGTCGACCATCTCAGGTGAGTAATCACCCAACTCACCCAGAGCTCCCTGTTGGTCAGCTGTGTTGTTTTCCCAGAGTTTTCTCCTCATTCCCAGCATAAGGCGTTAGTAGATCCAGGCGCAGCTGGGAATTTCATTGATCATCAGTATTCACTTAGTTTAGGGATTCCCACTGTTCGTGTTGATGTGCCCTTCCCTGTCCACGCATTAGATAGTCGCCCGCTAGGGTCAGGCCTAATCAGGGAGGTTACCGCACCACTCTTAATGAGGACGCAGGGGGGTCATGAGGAGAGGATTAGTCTCTATCTGATTGATTCTCCTGCGTATCCTGTGGTGTTGGGACTTCCCTGGTTAACCACTCATGACCCCACTATTTCCTGGCAACAGAGGGCTGTCAAGGGATGGTCCAGTCTGTGCTCAGGGAGATGTGTAGGGGTTTCCTTAGGGGCTACTACGGTGGAGAGTCCCAAACCAGGTCTCCACCATGCACATTCCTTCCGAGTATGCCGATTTGGCTCTCGCCTTCAGTAAAAAGAGGGCGACTAAATTACCACCCCATCGTCCGGGGGATTGTGCAATAAATCTCCAGGTAGGCGCTGCACTTCCCCGGAGTCACATGTACCCTCTGTCACAGGAGGAGAAGGCGGCTATGGAAACATATGTCTCTGAATCTCTCAGGCAGGGATACATTCGGCCTTCCACTTCACCTGTTTCCTCAAGTTTCTTTTTCGTGAAGAAGGATGGTGGGTTACGCCCGTGCATTGATTACCGTGGTCTTAATCAGATCACCGTCAAGTACAGCTATCCATTACCTCTGATAGCTTATATGACGGAGTCATTGCACGGGGCGCGCTTCTTCACGAAATTGGATCTCAGGAGCGCGTACAACCTGGTGCGTATCCGGGAAGGAGATGAGTGGAAGACGGCATTCAGTACTACCTCAGGACACTATGAGTACCTTGTCATGCCGTACGGGTTGATGAATGCTCCATCAGTCTTCCAATCCTTTGTCGATGAGATTTTCAGGGATCTGCACGGACAGGGTGTAGTGGTGTATATTGATGACATTCTCATATACTCCGCTACACGGGCCGAGCATGTGTCCCTGGTGCGTAAAGTTCTTGGACGACTGTTGAAACATGACCTGTATGCCAAGGCGGAGAAATGCCTGTTCTTGCAGGAGTCCATCTCCTTCCTAGGGCACCACCTGTCTGCGTCTGGGGTGAGGATGGAGAGTGACCGCATTTCGGCCATGCGTAATTGGGTGACTCCAACCACGGTGAAGGAGGTGCAGCGATTTTTAGGGTTTGTCAACTACTACCGGAGGTTATTCCGGGGCTTTGGTCAGGTAGCGGCTCCCATTACCTCCTTGCTGAAGGGGGGACCGGTGCGACTGCGGTGGTCAGCTGAGGCGGACAGGGCGTTCAGTCATCTGAAAAACCTGTTTACCTCGGCTCCAGTGCTGGCTCATCCGGATCCCTCCTTGGCTTTCACAATTGAGGTGGACACGTCGGAGGCTGGGATAGGTGCTGTACTTTCCCAGCGCTCGGGCACACCACCCAAGCTCCGCCCCTGTGCGTTCTTTTCGAAGAAGCTCAGCCCGGCGGAGCGCAACTATGATGTGGGGGACCGGGAGCTGTTGGCTGTGGTCCAAGCCCTGAAAGCGTGGAGACATTGGCTTGAGGGGGCTAAACACCCTTTTCTCATTTTGACTGACCACCGCAATCTGGAGTACATCCGGGCGGCGAGGAGATTAAACCCTCGCCAGGCAAGGTAGTCCATGTTTCTCGCCCGTTTTGTTTTCACCCTTTCGTACAGGCCAGGTTCCCAGAACGCTAAGGCAGATGCTCTGTCCCGACTGTATGACACGGAGGAGAGTTCCGTGGAGCCCACTCCCATACTTCCGGTGTCGTGTCTGGTGGCACCGGTGGTGTGGGAGGTGGACGCTGACATCGAGCGGGCATTGCGTAATGAACCCACTCCTCCCCGGTATCCAGAGGGTCGTATGTACGTTCCGCTGGAGGTCCGCGATCGTTTGATCTATTGGGCTCACACGTCACCCTCCTCTGGTCATCCTGGTATCGGTCGGACAGTGCATTGTCTTAGTGAGAAATATTGGTGGCCCACCTTAGCTAAGGACGTGAGGGTTTATGTTTCCTCCTGCTCGGTGTGCGCCCAGTGTAAGGCTCCTAGACACCTGCCCAGAGGGAAATTGCAACCCCTACCCGTTCCACAACGACTGTGGGGTCACCTATCGGTGGACTTCGTGACGGATCTTCCCCCCTCACAAGGGAACACCACGATCCTGGTCGTTGTGGATCGGTTTTCTAAGTCCTGCTGCCTCATTCCTCTGCCCGGTCTCCCTACGCCCCTACAGACTGCTTAGGCCCTATTTACACACGTCTTCCGGCACTATAGGATACCTGAGGATATAGTGTCTGATTGGGGTTCCAAGTTCACCTCGAGAGTCTGGAGGGCGTTCATGGAACGTCTGGGAGTCTCGGTCAGCCTGACCTCAGGATTTCACCTCGAAAGCAACGGGCAGGTGGAGAGAGTCAACCAGGAGGTGGGTAGGTTTCTGAGGTCGTATTGCCAGGACCAGCGGGGGGAGTGGTCGGTTTTCCTCCCATGGGCAGAGATGGCCCAAAACTCCCTCCACCACTCCTCCACTAACCTTACTCCATTCCAATGTGTACTAGGTTATCAGCCGGTTCTGGCACCTTGGCATCAGAGCCAGATCGAGGCACCTGCGGTGGATGAATGGTTTCGGCGCTCGCAGGAGACCTGGAACGCTGCCCATGTGCGCCTGCAACGGGCCATCGGGCAGAAAAAGGCGAGCGCCAACCGCCACCGCAGTGAGGCTCCAGTGTATGCCCCAGGGGACCGGGTCTGGCTCTCGACCCGAAACCTGCCCCTTCGCCTGCCCTGCCGGAAGCTGGGCCGGCGGTTTGTGGGGCCATTCAAAGTCCTGAGGAGATTGAACGAGGTATGTTATAGGTTACCGCTTCCTCCTGATAATCATATTAACCCCTCGTTCGATGTGTCTCTCCTCAGGCCGATGGTAGCTGGTCCACTCCAGGAGTCTGAGATACGGGAGGTTCCTCCGCCCCCACTGGACATCGAGGGGGCACCGGTGTACTCGGTCCGTTCCATCGTGGATTCGAGGCGTCGGGTGGGGGGGGCTGCAGTATCTCGTGGTGTGGGAGGGGTACGGTCCGGAGGAATGGTGCTGGGTCCCTAGGAGGGACATCCTCGATCCCTCCATGTTGAGGGATTTCCACCGCAGTCATCCGACTCGCCCCGCGCCGTGTCCTCCTGGCTGTCCTCGAGGCCGGTGTCGACGCACAGCTGGAGCCGCGTGTCAGGGGCGGGGTACTGTCACGGATTCTGCCGAGGCTGCCCCTCCTCCTTGCTCGGGCAGGCTTCGGCGTTTGTCGTCACCGGAATACTAGCTGCTGCCGATCTATTTTCTATGTTGCACCTGTTGTCTGATTGTTACACACCTGTTTCCCATTATGTGATTACTCCTTCCCTATTTAACCCGGTGGCTCCCAATGTGTTTTGTGCGTGTTTGTTTTTCGTTTCGTGTGTCGTTTGGTGAGCGGGTTTGTTCCTGCCTGTGTGGAGGTATTTTGTATTGGTGTCTTTACTTATTCAGTAAAGTACGTTTCAATGAGTTCTGTGTCCTGCGCCTGACTTCGATCCACCGCATTACACTGACACTCGTGACAAATGTCCAACCATTGTCCAGTAGCTTACCTTTAGATGTCCAATGACAAACTTTTGCAGTATGTGATTCCAACTGGATTTCTTGAAGACTGACAGGTGGCCGAAGTCATGCTGCAGCCAGCCAGCCTGGGACTGAGAGGGAAAAAGAAATGCAGAGTGTGAATGGTGTCTGAAAGGTGGTTCGGTAACCCTATGCCTAACCTTTACCCTAACCCCACCAACCCTATCCTTAATCCTAACCTTAACCTTTCCCCTAACCCTAACCCTATGCCTAACCTTTACCCTAACCTCACCAACCCTATCCTTAATCCTAACCTTAACCTTTCCCCTAACCCTAACCCTATGCCTAACCTTTACCCTAACCCCACCAACCCTATCCTTTCCCCTAACCCTAACCTTAATCCTAACCTTAACCTTTCCCCTAACCCCACCAACCCTAACCTTAATCCTAACCCTAATCCCCTAACCTTAACACTAACCTTCGATCCCTATACCTAACCTTAGAATCTGCCTGTCAAATATCTCCTTCTGCTTCCTAATAATACTGTAATGGTACCTGAGACGTGGCCAGCATGAGGGAACAGAGCAGTGTGAGGCTCCAGCTGGTCCCCCAGACCCAGAGCAGGCCCAAAGCCAGGGCCTCTAGTAGCAGGATGTGGCCCAGGTAGAGGCTGAAGAACAGGGGGCGGGCACGGAGGAGTCCCTCTCTCTCCACATGATCACGCAACGCCTGAAAGTCCTGCACCAGTGCTGCCTGTATGGCGTAGAGGTGATCAATAATAAATAAAGATGTATGAAGTAAGGGGTCTTTCTCAATTAAACTGTTATTGATTCGAGGAGGCGAGGTGACAGGATGCGAGGAATTGCAGAAAGACAAACTGTGATAAAGCCAAGATGAACCAGGAGGAAGGTGGATGATGGTAGAGAGATGAGAATTGAGGGAGTGGAGGAGAGGAGGAGGACAGGAGAGGGAGGAGGACAGGAGAGGAGGAGGAGAGGAGAGGAGGAGGACAGGAGAGGAGGAGGACAGGAGAGGAGGAGGACAGGAGGAGGATAGTGTAAATAATGAAGAAGAAGAAGAAGAAGAAGAAGAAGAAGAAGAAGAAGAAGAAGAAGAAGAAGAAGGAAATAGGAGTAACAGAAAGCTGAAGAGTACCAGGATAAGAGGTAAGACTCCTGAATAGGTAAACAGACAGCGGGCAGCGGGGCATCTGGGCTCATAGACAGGCTGGTATAATGTGCCCTAGTTATAGTAGATGACTGAAGATGCCACACTACATCTGTAGGAGGTAAACCTTGTCTTGAAATATCTCCATACACATCACACCTGCTCTTACCACAGTCGTAGAAAGTACCATTCTGCACAGCATTCTGTCTGAGTAGCATGGAATTCCCTATTAGCAAGAGAAAGATTGGCCTCGCATTGGTCCCCGGGTCCCTTCCTAAACCTACAGTATGTTAGAGTGGGCGTGGTGCTATGTCAGATGGAGAGATGCTTTAGGCTTCACATTCTATGTTTCATTATGTAGCCTACAGCGATGTATGTTATGGGCGTGGTGCTGTAGAGGGAGATGGAGAGAGAAAGATAGGCATCCTCACATTTTTCCCCTGGTCTTGGCTGGGCTCTGTGGGTGCCAGCGCTCCAATCAGCAACGGCTTCAGAAACTTCCGGACAAAATTAGGATCAGGATGGAAGGCGGAAAATGCTTCCTAGAAATCAGAGATATAGATGAATCTGTGTTGTTTAAGACAAATACATACAAATGTCCTCTCAGTAAAAATAAATAACAATTAATTCACTGTGAGATTAGTTGAGAGATTATCATGATATTAGGATCCATAAATGTACAATCCACTAACATCTTGTGTAATATGTCATACAGTGACAGACCACTAAACATTTCTAAACCTACAACATTATAACATTTGCAACAGTCTTATTGGAATAGCTTGAGAACATTTCACCAACAACTTCCATAGTTAGGCTACTGACCGTGGCATCTTCTCCAGCAAAGTGACTGATGACCCTGATGCCCCCCGGGTGTCTCTTCACCCACTGGGTAACGTTATAGACCTTCCTGTCGATGACCAACCACTGGTCGCCTCTGTGAGAGTGCCTCTGGACCTCTTCCCAGGTGTAGACTGCACTGCCACCTCGCCCTCCACCGAGCCCACCCCTGTCACCCTTGGCCGGCTCGCCTGACTCCGTCTGCTGGCCTCCGCCCCCCATCCTCGGTTCTCTCTGCTCCACTCACACCGTCGCTTTGTCGGCTGCGCTCTGTTGAGTCTGTCCAACTGAAGCACACTGAGGACTAGTCAAATGCAAGATACAGGGAGGGAGTCAGGGAATGGAATCAGATCATGCTGTCTGAGCCAAGCCCCACCTACGTGGTGAAATGGTGTGATTCTTCTGCAGTTTGATGTTTATTGGTATGAGTCTTGTCCTGGAGGCAGAACTGAGCGATTTCTGCTCGATGGTCCAGCTTCAAAGTAAGTGAAAACTGGCTATATTGTAAACATTCATGAACAACATTTTGCTTTTTGGTCTTAATTTAAGGTTAGGTTTAAAATCAGATGTTATTACTTTGTGGCTGTGCCAGCTAGTGACCACTTTGCAGAGCTGCCTCCAGAACAAGATACATGACGAAAAACGCTAACCTGCGATTCTTCTGCCAGAGGGAAGGGAGATGTTTTCCAGACAGCGTTGTACAACAAAATATGTTGCTCAATTGATTTGCTGAAAATATCGAATGACGAATACCTGTAGAGGCGCAGGAATGTTAGCCAGTCTATGGCCTATAATGCTGTGGAGTTTCTATTCTAAGAACATCGAAGCCATTAAATATGTTGCTCAATTGCTCAAAATATCTAATAACGAATACCTGTAGCATTCTGTATGGAGTTCCTATTCTAATCTGTTGAGCATCGATGCAATTTAGCACGATGTTTATTTGTAACACTATATTATAATGGAGACAAAGAGCATTGAAATGTTCTCATCAATAAATAATAAAGAAAACGGAGATGCGCCATTGTTTGGCCATGGACTCCTCTTCCATTCCGCATATGTTTGCCGAGTTTTATATGACACACAGTACAAACCTTTACGACCGTTTCATTTTGATGTCTTTATAATGACAGACATTATAAAATGGAATAGTCCATTGGCGTGTCAGCCCTTACAGAAATTCCCAGGCTACATGACATTACATTAAATTAGGCTATATTGTTATCAAAATATAACGCAATTACACAATGATGACGTGGATACTGAATGAATAGAATAGCTGCACTTACCAACATTTCCAGATGTGCAATCCTCTCTCTCTTTCTTTCCTCGCTCCTTCTCTTATTCATAAAAACACATTCACCTCTTCCTGATCACCCGTCTCATCATGTATCCAATCAAATCATCAGTAGGCTACTAACCGTATCTTTCCTTCCATAACGCACTATAGCTCACTCACCCACTCGTTCACTATACAATTCCATGCCGATCATTCGAGTCTCTCCTCCAATGGGGTTATTTCACTAGACCGCTGCCATATCTGCAATTGGTTCACAACAGCCTTTTCCGAATTATGAAAAAAAGGCCGGCTCTCTCAATCCTATTGGCATTCAGGTCTGTCAAAGCACTTGCCTATGTCAATCACTTACCTATTCCAACCAATCAGGACGCTCTTGGACGCACTCAGGGCCCCGCCCTTGACACCCCATGATAGTGCGTGTTAACTGGTAGATGCTGTTGCAAGAAGACAAGCCCCCCTTGATGCTTTAGTATTCAGTATTTTATTAGGATCCCCATCAGCTACAGCTCCTCTTCATGAGGTCCACACAAAACATGACATAATACATAACATTAATAGACAGTTACAGAACTACATAAATTAAAAATTAATTAAATAACATAGAAAGACAATACCATGAATAACAATATAAACGCAACATGTAAAGTGTTGTTTCATGATTGAAATAAAATATCCCAGAAATGTTCCATACCCACAAAAAGCTTATTTCTCTAAAATTTTGTGCACAAATTTGTTTATATCCCTGTTAGTGAGCATTTCTTCTTTGTCAAGATAATCCATCCACCCGACAGGTGTGGCATATCAAGAAGCTGATTAAACGGTGTCAAAGTTGGCCTCCCGAGTGGCACAGTGGTCTAAGGCACTGCATCGCAGTGCTTGAGGCGTCACTACAGCCCTGTGTTCGATCCCAAGCTGTGTCACAGCCAGCCGCGAACGGGAGACCCATGAGGCAGCGCACAATTGTTAGGGGAGGGTTTGGCCGGCCGGGATTTCCTTGTCCCATCGCACTCTAGCGACTCCTTGTGGCGGGCCGGGCGCCTGCAAGCTGATTACGGTCGCCAATTGGACGGTGTTTCCTCCGACACATTGGTGCTTCCGGGTTAAGCGAGTAGTGTGTTAAGAAGCAGTGCAGCTTGGCAGGGTTGTGTTTCGGAGGACGCATGGGTCTCGACCTTCGCCTCTCCCGAGTCCGTACGGGAGTTGCAGCGATGGGACAAAACTGTAACTACCAGTTGGGGAGAAAAAGGGGTAAAATAATAAACAGTGTCAAAGCTAAAATACCACTCCTGCAGAATTAGCAACTCAACTCGAACCTACCTACTCAATGGCAGTTCGGTTATTCCTTGTCCCTAATCCCTACAGGTCTGATAGATGCCGCTCTGCTAGTCTACAGCCAGGGACTGTTCCTCAGACTCAACAGTAAGGGCCTTACAGTAAAGTGGGCTATCCCCGAAGTCAAGTGCCTACGCTCCCTCACCCTGAACCTATAAACCCGGCATCTTCTCAGGATCGTCTGAGCCAGAGTTTCAACCTCAGCACACTATGAGCGGGTCGCCCTCCTCTGGGTTGGCTTTAGCCCAGGGACACCCCTCCTTCCTTTATACCAGCCACTCGGGTCCCCGATAGACTAACTGACCAGATGCTATAAAATCCTCAATTAATTAAAGTTTATTTCAGAAACCAAAAGTAAAACATCACGCACTTGTAGGACTCTTTGATGACACAGGGTTTCAGAACAATATAGTTAATTTATTAAAAATTCCAGAAACAGGCATAAAAGAAAAACCCAGATCAATCAATCACAAATCAATACCACCAATCAATGATAAGCGAACACCAACAGTAAATTAAATTGATCGACCCCTTCAGCGCCCTTATTGGGATGCCAATAAAATATTTTTTGTCTATTACAATTTTATGAGAAGCACAATATTTAACAACAAGAAAAAAACGGTTTCTACAACTTTACAAACAGTTTTTTGTCTCCCCCCTCAGGATGATCAGCCCCTCTAACAGCTAGTTTACCTCTATCAATGAGGTAACCTTAAGGATTCCTCCTAGAATTTTACTTTTAACTGAGTACAATACAAATCTAAATCAAAGTATAAAAATCTAAATATATTTTAAGCTAAAACGCTTCAGCAAAAATCTTCTTCCAGCAGTCGACAGCAAGCTCCAAAAGAGTCGTACCCTTCTCCAAAAGCTCCTTTATACCCTCCATCTTCCTTTCTGCTAACCCCCCATGATGCATTCAGGGATAACACCTAATGCGGACATCGCTCAAAAAGGTGTTTTTTCAGCCCCCACTAACTCCCACCTTTTTCTCACCTAAGCAAGATGTACACTTCAAACCCCTAACCTCTCTGACCTGGGGATTTCCAGATCAAACTTGCTTCATTAATGTACTTCATTAACCTTAACTTTTAAAACATAGATTTTTTCTTACTCCACTCAATTCTAATCTTACTCCAACCTAACTTATTACTCCCATTACATCTTAAGTATCTACCAACTTAAAAATTTCATCATTACAACATTTCAACATTGTATCCTTTCATTATCAACATTATCAGGCCTTGTTCCTCTACAACAAACATAGTCTATATGCATCATACCTTAAAGCAAACAACATTATAACACTCTTAACCATTCATTAACTAAATCACCCTTTTAATATCGCCAACTGCATGTTTCCCCATGCTTTCATCATTTAACATTGAACGTATTTAACCTTTAATTATTATTAATTTCTTCTTCTTCTTCTTCTTCTTCTTCTTCTTCTTCTTCTTCTTCTTCTTCTTCTTCTTCTTCTTCTTCTTCTTCTTCTTCTTCTTCTTCTTCTTCTTCTTCTTCTTCTTCTTCTCTTTAATCAATGTTCATTCTTCTTTGTGTTCCGTGTGCCCTGACAGCTCATCTGCGTGCTCGTCGTCCTCACCAGGGTCTTGACCAGACTGCAGTTTGGCGTCGTAACCGATTTAAGAGGGCAAATGCTCACCTTCGATGGCCACTGATAGGCTGGAGAAGTCTGCTCTTCATGGATTAATCCCGGTTTCAACTGTACCGGGCAGATTGCAGACAGTGTACAGTTGAAGTCGGAAGTTTACGTACACCTTAGCCAAATACATTTAAACTCAGTTTTTCACAATTCCTGAAATTTAATCCTAGTAAAAATTCCCTGTCTTAGGTCAGTTAGGATCACCACTTTATTTTAAGAATGTGAAATGTCAGAATAATAGTATAATTATTTATTTCAGCTTTCTTTCATCACATTCCCAGTGGGTCAGAAGTTTACATACACTCAATTCATATTTGGTAGCATTGCCTTTAAATTGTTTAACTTGGGTCAAATGTTTCGGGTAGCCTTCCACAAGCTTCCCACAATAAGTTGGGTGAATTTTGGCCCATTCCTCCTGACAGAGCTGGTGTAACTGAGTCAGGTTTGTAGGCCTCCTTGCTCGCACACGCTTTTTCAGTTCTGCCCACAAATGTTCTATAGGATTGAGGTTAGGGCTTTGTGATGGCCACTCCAATACCTTGACTTTGTTGTCCTTAAGCCATTTTGTCAAAAACAGGGATACGTGCACCAGTAGTTCAGAGATGGAACTTGTTGAGAGTTAGGGTGAAGTACCTGCGGCGAGAATCGTCGAGTTCGGGCATCGTCCCAAGGATGATAAGGATTTTGGCCCAGTGGGAGTGAGATTTGTAGAGAGAATGGATCCTTGCTCTTTGGTTGATCCATATCTGGTGTCAGGTTGGGTGGAGGAGAGGTTGGGGACTGCTGAGTTGAAGGTAACTCAGAGTGGACTTCTGATGATTTATTGTGTTTCCCCCGCCCAGAGGGAGAGGGCACTCCGGATGACGAGATTAGGGACAAGAATTGTGACGTGCTTTGCTCTCCGGAGAAGGGCGCCGTTGAAGGTAG